TCTCATGTCACCTTCACATTTCTAACACACATGAGCAACACTGCCTGACATGTTTTCAATGTGTTTACCGGCCTTTTCAAAGACATCATTTTCAACACTATTGGTTCTCTCCATTGTCATCTTTCCACACACACTGGATTCACTTTCCCCCTAGAGGTACCAGTCCGGAGATGAACCAGTCAAGACATTTAGCACATTCCTCCTTCCATAAAAACTTAGTTGGTCTATGAACAGGGTTACTACAGTAAGTTCTTCCCCGATGAGTGGCAAGAATGAAAGACACAGCAGTCACTACTCCAAAGTCCGAGATCCCACTGGAAAAAACTTGTGTGGGCCCTTGCCCGTAGTTTGGGAAGATGGATTAAACCCCAATTCAGCTTTGTCAAAGACCCCTCTCCCCTCTCAAGCACTGTTATGTATGTCCTGGTTCCACCCTCCAGGAAGTAACCCATTCATCACACTCTACGGTCACCTCAGTAGCAGGCCCTCTTTCAGGACTGTATAAGCTTCAAAGCTTACTTGTACACTTTGATTTGGAGGCCTGGAGTTATTGTATCTTTTTTTTTTAAAATATTTATTTATTTATATAAGCACTGGGTACAGTCAGAAGTGGGGGAGGGTGAGAGAATTCACCAGAGCCAGAGCGGGGAGCACAGCAGGCAGACTGAGGAAGTACACTGCTGAGGGGAGCAGCGGGCGGCAGGAGAGGTCTGCGCGCCATGTGGGACCCTTGCCCGCCAGCAGGGGATCCAACTGGCGCTGCAGAGGCTGCGGGCAGCTTCGCAACCCAGCGCTCAACCACTGCGCCACCGGGGAGGCCCTATTTTGTTTGTTTCTTAACTGAAATAATCAAAAGCTTTTAGGCCTAGACTTAATACTACCTGAGGTCAATGTTCATTAAAAGTTATGAAACCACACCCTTATCATCATCTTTACCCTGAGTCATTTCATTCAGCTAAGAAATTTTAATAACCTTTTTGCGCAATGTCTTTTTTCTTTAAAGTATTCTGTGTCTTAGTGTGTGGATCTAGAAAGAGGCAAATTTTCCACAATAGAAGGCAAATTTCTAGACTCTTACTCCTTTTTTACTTCTTGCAAAATGTCCAGTTCTTTCTCTCATCTCAACTCTTTCTTGCATTAGACTAATACTCGGATACTTTTAATATCATCATATGTACAAAAAGGCTCTAATTATTTATAAGTATCTCCCCTAAAACTAAAGGAGACTGAACTCCAAGTAGCCATAGATGACACAAAACAATTATTTTTGACTTTGTGAAATGAACAATCATTCCAGCTTCTGATATGTTGTTGCTTTCTACTTCTTAACTGCTAAGCTAATACCACCTCTCTGTGGAATTATTATATACCACTTTCTCTATTAAGGAAGGTAGGTTGGGGTGTGCTGTGATGACAAATACACTCACAGGGTAACAATAAGTAAAAAGAACAAAATCTTGCTCACAAAATGTCTGAGGACGGCAATGGGGATTGGGGGAAGTTCTTTTCCAAGCAGTAACTTAGGGCTTCAAGTTCTATCATCTTGTAGCTCTGTCATCCCAGAACCCTTGCTTATAGAAACACAAAAACTGAAAGCGAGGAAAAGTGAGCCAGTAATCATGTGCAAGAGTTCAGGAGCGAGAAGCCAGGTCGCCTTTACTTGACAACACAGAATAAGCTAGAAAAGATTTGACCCAATAAACTTAAAGATAGATCGAAAAGATCGAATCCTCTGTGGCCAGGAGGGGAAAAAGATTAGTAAGCATTTGATCAGTCACAACACCCAGCTCTCATTTGTTTGTGTTTGCCTGTGCTGACGTTCATGTTCTTTTACTCTAAATTTTAGGTATCTCTCTGATAAATGTAATTGAATTTAATTTTAAAAGGTGCCCTGACCATTGTCATTTAAATAGGTGGTTTACTCTGTTTACATGAATTGTGATTATTTCTAAATTTTTTCACTTTTCTGAGGTTTCCACCTACAGTCTTTGTTTCATTTTTCTTATTTTTTTTATATTCTTTTTTTTTTATAGAGGCATGTTTTATTTATTTATTTGTTGTTTGTTTATACATGCACTGGGTACAGTCAGAAGTGCGGGAGGGTGAGAGAATTCACCAGAGCCAGAGTGGGGAGCAGAGCAGGCAGAAGGACCAAAGTACACTGCTGAGGGGAGCAGCGGGCAGCAGGAGAGGTCTGCGCGCCATGTGGGACCTTCCTCCGGTGGCCGGGGAGCAGCCGGGGATCGAACCGGTGCTGCAGAGGCCGCAGACAGCCTTGCAACCCAGCGCTCAACTGCTGCGCCACCGGGGAGGCCCTCATTTTTCTTATTTTACAGATTGATCAATTTTCCTTTGTTTTTTCTACTGCTCTACTGAAAGAAGCTTTTTTTCCTACTTTTATTAATATCTCTATACTCTAATTGTGATTTCTTAAAATATCCTAAAGATATCTTAATATCTCAAAGAATATTTAAAATATCTTAAAGTCCTAATCAAAAATATCCATTTAATGTGTTACTGTCCAGTGCTTTAGTTGCTTATTCTAAAACTCAGTGATTTTTATTTCTATCTTACCAAAGAAATCAGTGGTTCAATACTAATAAGTTCTAAACATATTCATATACCTAACAGTTTTCTTTCTTATTTGTCCATCATTCCTTCTTGTATCTTAACCTTTCCTTCTAGTAACAGCTGTATTCTTTCTGAAGTACATTTCTCAGATATTCCTTTTTCACTGGACTATTAATTGTATGGTCTCAGTTTCGTTTGCCTGTATATATCTATTTCATTCACTTTATTGAATGATGGTTTACTTATGCATAAATGGCATAATGTCTAAAGTTTATAAAGAATAATGGGTTAAGAAAGCTAGATGTTACTTTCATGAAATAATTTTAAGTTATTTTAGTCTATTTACTAAAATAATGGAATTATTATTTATCAAAATAAAATGAAACTCAACCATGATAATTACTTTTAATCTACCAAATTCTTCAAATTATTTTATTAACTTTCCCTTCACATATCCCTCAGACATGAAACTGACATTCCATATAAAAATGGCACCTTGCTCTAGGATAAGACTTAAAACTTCCAAGAACATAGCTTGGTGTTCATTTTAGACTATAGTTCTGACTTTTTTTTATATTTCATGTATTGGTTTTTCAAGGCCTTCATGCATTGAAACTATATATTCTTTAAATAAGAATAATTTCTTTATTTAAGAAGTTCAAAGAAGAGCCTAGCAAGCAAGAAAACTGACAAAGCAAATTCGTCAGTGTCTGAAGAATTATCCTTCTTCAAAGATGATCAAAGATGTCTAGCATTAGAGAAAAAAAGTCAGTATTATGCTAAGTTGAAATGATCTAAATTTTAAATCAAATTGCTTTCCCTTAATTGAGAAACATTTTTTGTGAGATAATCTATCTTAAAGAAAAATACTCTAGATTTTTTTTTATTATATCATGGAAAAATTAAGTATCATAGGGCCTCCCCTGGTGGTGCAGCTGTTGAGAACTGGGCTGTGAAGCTGCCCGCAGCCTCTGCAGTGCCGGTTCAATCCCTGGCCGCCTGCGAGGGTCCCACATGGCGCACAGACCTCTCCTGTCGCATCCGCTGCTCCCCTCAGCAGTGTATTTCATCAGTCTGCCTGTTCTGTTCCCCACTTTGGCTCTGGTGAATTCTCTCACCCTCCCACGCTTCTGACTGTACCTAGTGCTTATATAAATAAATAAATCTTTAAAAAAAATTTAAAGAAACTTCAGGTGTATACAGACTATGAATGGTTTTCACCAGCCATTTCAGAATAAAACTATTAATACTAGCTTATAGTTTAGCTTACATAAATACATGCTTAATGTGACTTTTATACCCCAACAGGTGAGGGTAACAGTATTTATAATCATGAATATAATTCAGAGGAATATTAATTGCATTGAAAGTTGTTCAGAAAGGATGAAATTTGTGAAATACATTTACTGAATAATTTCTATAAATTAATGAAATACTACTAGCTTTTATGGGTTAAACTCAAATTTTCTCAAAATTAACGTATGTAGAATTCCTTTTCCTTGATGCTCCATGGTAAGTGAGGTATTATTCTATAAGCTTTTTATTTCTTCTCATTTTATATGGCCATTGGAAAATTTTTAATTAAACCTTTTTCTACCCTTATGATAATTCTGTAGTCATAAGAAAAGCAAAAATCTGAAGGTCAACCAGAGACAGAAAACCATACATTGACTCTATATAAAATATAAAATGAAAACAAATTAACCTACATTGTTAAATTTTGGATACTAGTTTATCCTTGGGTGGGGTAGGGATAGTAGACTAGAAGGAAGCCTTAGGCATATTAATAATGTTCCATGTCTTGGAATCTTAGATTTACTTGGTTTGAATTTTTTTGTGTCTGCTACACTTTTATGACACACGCATTTTTCTGTGTGAATTTTACTTCAATAAAATGTTTTGAAATATATGAAAATCAATATTATACCTAGCTAATAGTCAGCTGGTCTATAGGCACATTTACAAATGCAATCCTGTTAGTCCTGATAGCAAAATTTTCTGAGATAGGAGTCCCAAGAGAGTATTCATGAAAGCCAAAGCATATCTATAAAATAATCTTGATATATAAATAGTATCTATAAATTAATCTTGCTGGATTAATATAGCAATATTAAACATTGTTTTATTAGTCACAAAATGCCACATACAGAGAAATAAAATGTTATTAAATCTCAGTGCAAGTCAGTTTTTTTAAGTTCAGAAATTTAATATTTAATTAAAGAACAGTATTCTTTCTCTGTAGTTGTAACATTTTAATGATTATTCAGTTCTAGGTCAAGCTAGATCTAGAATCCTTTTCTCATTCATTATCTCAATATGTTGGATTTCTAAGCAGTATTGGAAAATTGTCAGGTATGGTTATTTCATATCGTATTCTGTCATCAGTGGGCTACTGGTAAAAGAAGCCTTGTCTTTATGCCTCCTATCAGAGAGAAGAGAAGAATATTACTCCTCAAAGAAAGAGGGGATCCAGTGCAGAGGGCACCACTGCTGCAGACAGCCGACACCCATCCCTGTCATCAGTTCTGAAGAATAACCCACTCTACGATGACATAAGTTTGGAAGAAGAAAGAAAAAAGAACCCTTCATGGACCATTGAAGAATATGATAAGCATTCCCTACACACAAACCTCTCTGGGCATCTGAAGGTAGTCAATATAAAGAAACAATTCCTTCAACTGATGAGAGAGACAAGTTAAATAATCCTAAAGAAGTTGGATACTGAGAGGACAGGCACTCTTCTCCAGACTTAAAAATTCCCAGATTTCAAGTCATTGAGTTCTCTGGCTTTCATTTTTCCCTCCAGTCAGTATTTATTTTTTTGCTTTGTTTTGAGTCTCATAATTTCATCAACTGACATTTATGTAGAAATGATTGACACTAATGAGAAGTTTTGCTGGGAGGGAAATGGATTTGAGAAATAATTTCCCAGGTTACGTACAGTTTTGTGACCACTTATGTGCTGAAGAGTTAAGAATTCTGTGTCCTACATTTATTTGCAAATACTGTTATGCTCAGTCTTAGGCATTGTGTAAAGCAGTTCTCATCACGATCATTTTATTTCAAGCTCACTCAGTGATTTAAAATTGTAGATTTACATTTTGGATGTTTTCCTGTGTTTCAGTAACAAAGCAAAACAAAAACATTTCAACAGAGGAAAAGCATGCAATGAACTCATTCACCCAACTTAAACCCAAATTAAGGTTTTCTTTCTTCCCCTTCAACATACCCTCCCTGGATTGTCACCCACCACGTTGATCTAGTAATACCTGAAAAGCAGGGAGAGTGGCACTCTCTTTTCTGAGTGGATGGGATTCCTACCCAGCCTTGACTTGCCTCTGCCTGCCCTAGGGGCAGGGAAGCCTGGCATTTACCAAGTACCTTTCACTTAACAATGTATATCTGTTCTGAGCCTTAAGCACCTGAACATTCTTTGTTTTGAAGGCGACAGCACTATGTCCCTGAAAGCCTTTCACTTTTTAAAACTGCAAATGTGCACTCTGTGAACTCTCTTGTTATCCAGTGTCCGAAGTATCTTAATCTCTTAGTAGAGCCAGTGTATTTCCTCTTCAGTATCAATTTATTTCACACACATTTCTCGATTGGATGTTGAGCCACTTTTCTTCCGTTTGTTGTTTATATCAAAGACAAGGGGAAAATAGAGATTAATATTACTGTCTCTACACTCAAAAAGTTCATCTAACTGAGCAAATTAACAATGACGACAGAACAAGGTAGGAGAGGATAGGCACTGTAACAGTAGAAAACACTGCAAAGACTCAGAAAAGTACACTTACACTGAATTATAAAAATCCTTCATGAGAAAATTAATCTGGGCTTAAAGAATGGGCTTAAAGAATATGTAGAATTCCAGATGGTTAGTGGGAGGGGGGAGGCCCTTCTGTCAGGAGCAACAAGAAAAAAAGGCAATAATGCAAGAAAGTTAGAGAGTCGGTTGAAAGAGTAAGTCCAGCTTTGTTGGTGCTACAGTTTAAATAACAGAAAACAAAAAAAATAAGACTAAAAGGAAAGTTTAGTCACTATCCCTTATCTATATTTCCTAAGACATCCCCTAACTTATTTTTTTGAAAATTAGGTAACATTTATGAGCTAAAGAAGTTCCAAGTGTCTTTTACCACTCCCATTTTTTTCTACAGTTCTGAGAGTTCATAAATAAGAAAGAACATGGAGGGAAAAACCCATATGTAGTTACCAAATTATAAGCAGAACATAAGAAGATAGTCTCCACTATGGAAATTCTTATTGGACAATGGAGGCATAAGACTTGCACAGTGCAGGTCTCTGATTAGGACACTAATAATAGGAAGGACAATAATGAGGCCACCAAGGATTTTTAATTCATCTATCCTTCAGCACAGGTATCCAAATTTTAGTTTAATGTTTCAGTTTGTCTAAGAGTAGAGAAGTTGAAGCTAGTAGCAGCATGACAGAAAAGGAGTACTGTCCTCACTAGCTGATATTAAGTACACTGACACTAGAGAGGCTGATACAGGGCTGGCAGCTTGGTTTCAAGCCACCACAATCATCGAAACCCAAATAAGGGATCAGGAAAAAGACTAATTATAATAAAGTAAAAATCAAAACCAACAGGCAACTATAAACCAGAGACACACTATAAGGTGGGAGAAGGGAGTAGGATCAAAACAAGGGTGGTGGGAATTTTATGGGGACTATAATGAAGATGAAAATGGATACATTGTATAAAAATGAAAAATGATGTAAAAATATATATAGTTCAAAAAAAGGTGAGAAATGATGGCTGAACTGAGTTAGTAAAAACAGAGGTTTGGCATTAACTATAAATTTCTTGTGTGCTTGGTACCTGCCAGGTATAGACACTGAATCTTCAGCACTGAAACACAGAAGATAATAAGATATATATTTTTTTAAGTGTGGACAGTAGAGTTCACAAATGAGTTACTGAACACTAGGTAATCAGGTTGAATTGAATATAATTCTGTAGGGTTGAAAGGAAGATGAGACTGGTGGGACAAAGTCACAGGGAGTAGGAGCTGTTACAGGGGAGGATCTACTGGGTCCATTCTTGAAGGGGACAAAGAGCACCAGGTTTCTGCACACCAAACATGCTGGTGGCTCCAGAAAAAACCAAAAAACAAAACACACAGATTGACAAGCATGGAAGGGTCTCTGGATTCGTAGCTTATGGATTTATGGAAAATCTTGGCAAACATGTTTATATCTACCATGAAGACAAAATTAAACCTCTAAGACTTTTTTTTTTCTTTTTTTTAAAGACCTATCCATTTATTTATACAAGCACTGGGCAGTCAGAAGCACGGGAGGGTGAGAGAACTCATCAGAGCCAGAGTGGGAACAGAACAGGCAGAGAGACGAAATACACTGCTGAGGGGAGCAGTGGGCACGGCAGGAGAGGTCTGTTGCGCCATGTGGGACCCTCCCTGGCAGCTGGGGATCGAACTGGCGCTGCAGAGGCTGAGGGCAGCTTTGCAGCCCAGTGCTCAACCACTGCACCACCAGGGGAGGCCCCAGGACTTTTTTAAAGCAAGGAATATAAATTTAATTTCAGCTCACTAGTCTGACTACTTATTGAGATGTAAGAAACATTAAATTGGCTAAAACATTACAGAAACATTCTTATCTTTCTGACCCTTAAACAGAAGTCCTGTCACTCTCCTCTGAATTCTCATGCCCACTCACAGATAGGAGCTGCAGGGACTGCTGGGCAGCCAAGAGGCAGAGGCTTCGTGTTTGAGCAGTTCAGGGACGCCTCGCCACGCTCATGTGAGCCTTGACATGTGAGCTCACAGCACCTTTGACGGTGTCTTGTTCTGCAAATCAATTAGTTTGTCACATTGATCAATCACTATTCTCCATGTAATTTTCTTTCAGGAAAATCCTAATGAACTGCGGTTTTGGTTGGGAGACATGTACACACCTGGTTTCGACACCTTGCTGAAGAAAGAAGAAGAACAAGAGAAGCATTCAAAATATTGTCGTGTAGGTCTGATTTTGCTCCTTGTTGCCTGTATTTTGGTTTCCATAGTGACTGTTAGCTCTTTTTTCACCTGAAGAATTTGCCACAGTCTTTTAAATTTCTTTAAAAGTTTTTCCAAATAAACATTTGCAGAAAAACATGCTCATGCGGTATACATTTTTGATTGTGTGGTTAAATTGTTTTGGACGATGCAAATGTTGGCTGAGACAGGCTGGCTTTATCTATTTTGTTCTCTGAAATCTATGTAACAAAGTCAGTGGCCTGAGCTTTGCCCTTTGGGAAGCAGAAGTTCTGGACCACTTAACCATAGGGCCTCCCCTGGTGGCGCAGGCGGTTGAGTGCCACAGGCGGTTGAGCACCACACTGTGAAGCTGTCCGCAGCCTCTGCAGCACGGGTTCGATTCCTGCCGGCTGGCGAGGGTCCCACATGGCGCAGCAGACCTCTCCTGTTGTGCCCACTGCTCCCCTCAGCAGTGTATTTCATCAGTCTGCCTGTTCTGTTCCCCACTCTGTCTCTGGTGAATCCTCTCACCCTCCCGCGCATCTGGCCTGTACCCTGGTTCTTGTATAAATAAATAAATAAATCTTTAAAAAAAAAAAAAAAAAGAACTTAACCACAGAAAAGTCCCAACCAAACACAATCAAAATTAAATATTTCGACAGAGAACGAAACACCACCAACAATTGTCAGCAACTTTTTCTTAATCTTCCAATTATACTGACCTTTAGAAAAAATAATTACCTCCTGGCCACCCCACCTACCTGGGTCACTAAGAAAATTGAGCATATCATTTTTTGGCCAGCTGCCAGGAAGGCAGGATAAAAGCTCCGGTTGTGCTGTCTAGTAGGTTGGATACCTGATTTTTGTTATGTCCCATTATTCTTATTTATGTCAGAAAACAGAGGGGTAGGAAAACTTGATACAAATATATTCATATTTTCTAGTAATATATCAGTTTGATGTTGCAATTTGCATAGAAGTAAACTTGGATAGGCCCATAGTTATGTGATTAATTTTATTTCCATCCATTTGTTCAGTAATTGATACAAACTCTCTAGTGTGTACCCTGGTATATGTCAGTCAGTACATGCTGCCAGCTATGACCTAGAGAGATGCTCCTAGCAAGTATTTCCTAAGGGGAAAGCTGCTTAGAGAACAGAGTTTGGATCCTAGCAGTGCGCACTGTCGGACCCTTGGCAAACTATTATCTCAGACAGAGAAGGGAGAACATCACCTCCCCCCAAAAGGTTTGCCTAATAGATCAATAAAAGCAATACCTGACTCACAGTAAGCAGTTTTGTATTTAATGACAGCTGTTTTCACTATTTCTGCTGTCTTACTGACACCCTTAAGTTGCCATGTATTTCCTGCAGAAACCTGAGGACATGGTACTGGCCACTGAAGTAGAATCAAGTCCCACCCTTCTCTTTCTCCTAGAATACCCTTCCTTAAGTCCCTCAACCCCATTCCTGTCTCTTTCTTTTTTCAATATTGCCCCCACCACCCTCAGATTGTCTTATGAAACAAAAGGACTTTTCTTCCTATTAGTCAGTCTTTGCCCTATGGGAGTGTCCTATCATTTTTTTCGCATTCATCTTGAAGACACTTGAGAGTACATTAACATGCAGCTTTACTACATAATAAAATCATTGTGTGCAAAAAGTTTTTTAAGAATATTTGTAGTCCTTGACTTTTTATTCCTTCAGTTCTAAAATAGCTTCTAGTGCAATTAAGAACTGAATGAAAGAGAGACAAAGGCCCTAGGGACTTTGTGAGCAGACCTACCTTCTCCGTGGACACACCTAGGGGCAACTACTTGCTATTAACCTGTTTTTAAAGCTGGACTGCTCAATGCTCACTTCTAAGATGTTCAAAACAATTTCCTATCTCTGCTACACATGGAAAACATCTGTGCTGCATTAGGAGACATCTGGCTGTCCAGTTAAGGTGTCCTAAAGGTACTAAGCACTGGTACCACAGGCGTGTGAAGCTGTTCACCTGAACTCCTAGTCTTCCTACCCCCATTTGTTTGTTCTTCTCTCCTGCCCAGGCAAGCACCTAGTATCCCTCTGTTCTCATCTATGATACTTTCAGTCACATGTATTTCAATATGAACGACCTTGTAATGTTGCTATTGTTCCCAAGCCAATCTTCACTGTTAGCCTTCAATGTAACTGGAGAATGTTCAAGATAGCAGCATAGGAAGATCCTGGGCTCATTTTCTCCCACAAACATAAAACACACAGCTATCTATGGAATAATTCTCTCTGACAAAGATCTGAAAACGACCTGAACAACAACTCTACAAAAAGCAACATAAGGACCAAACCAAATGGGTAGAAGGAGACACATGATTTTTCCATGAAACCATACCCCTAAGCCAGAGACCACAATCAGGAGGGCATTCACAAATATGGGTTTATTGAGAAGTGAGGGGTTCTTGGCCCTTATCAAGCATCCCGACCATTGCAACCTGCACCAAAGAGACAGAACCCCCCGAAACATCTAGCTTTGAAAGTCAACAGGGCTTGTGACCATGAGACCCAAAAAGTGGTGAGGAATGGAGAGAATGTGCCTACGGGAAAGTGCAGACTTACTCACCCTGGGGCCCAGGAGCAGTAGGAAAAGCAAGGAGATTTACTAGCCAATCTTAAAGTATCTGCCAGGGGAGAAGGATTTGCAGGAACTTCTCCAGGATCATAGGCACTAGTAGGTGACTTTTTGGTACTTTTGCCTTACCTTACTGGTGCCAGAGCTGTTTTAGTACAGAGTTGTCTTAGTACACACCGTTTTAGTACACCCTATCTTGTGAGCCTGAATGCACACTGACCACACCCCACCACATCACCGAATGAGGTCGAGCTGGCCATGCATCTGGGAGCAGGTCACTGTACCACTAAATGCAGCTTCAAGATCTGCTGCAACACTGCTCAACATGACTGCTCTGCTCAGTGTAGCCAGAAAGGGTGTGTACACAGAGCAGGGAACATTATCTTTGGAACCCAAATTCTTGCTTTAGGGGGACAGTTACATATTACCAGGTCTGGAGGTCAGCTTACTTTAAAAGCAGATACCTGAGAAGTTGGCCTCAATCCGCCTGAAATCATGTGCTCAAAGTGATCCTTCTATTTAAATTGTCAGATCTTTGCAGACCAACCCTACCCCCACAAATTATCAAGGATGAGCTATCAAGATCTATGAAGAATAGGTCTTCTTAATAGGTGATATATCAACAATGATCCAGACTGCCTAGTTTGGATAACCACAAAGTTTCAAGAGACGACCAAAAAGTAGTGCAAAGTAGAACATAAGCTTTAACACCTACAAAAGGTCATTCTTTCAAGATTGGGAGACACCTTTGCTTTGCCTAATACATAGTAAATGGAGCAGTCAGTATGGAAAATAGTGTGGAAATTACTCAAAAAAATGTAAAGTAACATATGATCCAAAAATTATACTTTGGGTATTTACCTGAAGAAAATGAAAACATTAATTCAAAAATATATACTGAAGCAGTATTTACAGTAGCTAAGATTGAAAAGAACCTAAGAATCCATCAATAGAGGAATGAATAAATATGTGTATGTGTATATAAAAGTGTATACACACACTATAACAGAATATATATTACATAGAGAATATACACACACAGGAATATAATTCAGCCACTAAAAAGAATGCAATCTTGCTATCTGCAACAACTGCTCAAACAGAAAGAGACGAATACCATATGACTTCACTAATATGTCTAATCTAAAAAAGAAAACAGAGGGCCTCCATGGTGGCATAGGGTTAAAGTTTCAGTGCCTTCAAGCTATCACCAGCCACTGCAGCATGAGTTCAATCCCTGACCAGGGCGCTAATCCACATGGTGCAGCAGACCTCTCCTCTTGCCTGCTGCTCCCCTCAGCAGTGTATTTCAGTAGATTGGTCTGTTCTGCTTCCCACTCTGTCTCTGGTAAATCCCCGCACCTCTGGCCTACACCTTAGTTCTTGTACTCATAAATAAATAAAATATTAAACAAAAAACAGGGCCTCCCTCCTGGCGCAGGTGGTTGAGCACCGCACTGTGAAATTGTCCGCAGCCTCTGCAGCACGGGTTCGATCCTGGCCAGCTGGCGAGAATCCCATATGGTGCGGCAGACCTCTCCTGTCTCACCTGCTGCTCCCCTCAGCAGTGTATCTCGTCAGTCTGCCTGTTCTGCTCCCCGCTCTATCTCTGGTGAATCATCTCACCCTCCCGCACATCTGGCCTGTACCCTGGTTCTTGTAGAAATAAATCTTTTAAAAAAAAACCCACAAAACTAAACTAAAATCAAAGGGAAAACAGACTGGGGGTTACCAGAATAGAGGACTGGGGCAGGAGAGGGGTGAAAGGGATCAGGAGTAAAAACTTCCAGTTACAAAATAAGCCAAGGAGGGCCTCCCTGGTGGCACAGCGGTTGAGCGCTGGGTTGCGAAGCTGCCCGTGGCCTCTGCAGCGCTGGTTCGATCCCCGGCTGCTCCCTGGCCACCGGAGGAGGGTTCCACATGGTGCGCAGACCTCTCCTGCCACCCGCTGCTCCCCTCAGCAGTGTGCCTTGGTCCTTCTGCCTGCTCTGCTCCCCGCTCTGGCTCTGGTGAATTCTCTCACCCTCCCGCACTTCTGAATGTACCCAGTGCTTGTATGTATGTATGTATAAATCAATCAATCAATAAATCTTTAAAAAAATATTAAAAAAAAAATAAGCCAAGGAAATAGAATGTACAGCAAGGGGGTGACAGTCAATGATGCAGTATTACAAATCTGAAAATTTAAAAGACAGAAATACTTGTTATGATTATTTTGCAATGTGTACAAATGAAGAAAGAATGTTGAATATTTGAAACTAAAATATTCTATATCAATTATACCTCCATTAAAAAAATACAACCCTTGGTCATTAATTATTATTATCCTCAACACTATTTTACTCACTTTTTTTTCCTAAATTGGGCTAAGAAAGTCTAGGCTCCATATATTCCTAAAATTAAAAAGCTAAGCTTCAATCAAAAATCTTTCCCAGGTTCTTTAGACGATGCATTCCTCCCCCT